TATTTATTTTATGTGTATGAGTATTTTGTCTACATGCAAGTAGGCCAGAAGAGGATGTCGGATCCCCTGGAACTGGAGTTACAGACAGTTGTTAACTGTCATGTGGATGCTGGGAACCTAACCCTGACACGTGTGTGTGTTTGTGCATAAATTAAAATAAGTTTTGTTTTTGTAAAAGATGGCAGCTTTCTGCAAATCAGGAAGTATCTTCTTACCAGGAATTGACTTGCTGAACCCTATCTTGGACTTCCTAGCCTCCAGAGCCATGAGAAGTATCAGTTAAGTGACCCAGTCTGTGGTACAGATTTAGCTCTACCACAGCTATGGTATAGCTTGACTTCATAATTCCTCCAAGGTACTTTTTTCTATGTCCTTTGTTTATTGTGGTGGTGCCTGGGATCAAACCCAGGCCTAGGCCCCTTTTTACCATTCTTTAAGATTTTTCTTTTTCCTTCCCCACCCTGCTCCATATAGGCTACATGTGGCCTTAAACACATAAGCCTCCTGCATCAGTCTCCTGAGTATCTGGGATTATAGTTACACATCTGACATATATATATAATGCATATATAGAGAGAGAATAGAATATATACTATCTATATCTATATATAATAGCAAGTACTATGTAGGTAGTACTTTTACATGGCTCAGAAATCTAACTAGGCACGATGCATGCCTTTAGTCCCAGCACTCAGGAGGCAGAGAGAGGTGGATCTCTGTGAGATTGAGGCCACCCTGGTGTACATAACAAGTTCCAGGCAGCTGGGGCTACAGTAAGACTCTCTCAAAAAACAACAAAAAGCCAGGCGTGGTGGTGCACGCCTTTGGTCCCAGCACTTGGGAGGCAGAGGCAGGTGGAGCTCTGTGAGTTCAAGGCCAGCCTGGTCTACATAGTGAGTTCCAGGGCAGCTGGGGCTACAGGGAGACCCTGTCTCAAAAAGGCCAAAAAAAAAGGCTGTTCTATAGACAGTCAAAGACCTATGGTCTTCAAGGAATGGGGATAAATATGTGGAGGCTTAGGATTTTCAGGATGGTAAAATTATTCCTTATGATACTATGTTGGGTACATGTCATTTTATACTTGTCAAAGCCCACAGAATGTGCAATATTGAGAATAAAGCCTGCTATAAACTATCGAATTTAGTTAATAATAATAGATTAGCTCTGGTTCATTCATTATAACAAATACAAAACACTAATGCATGGTGTTAATAATAGGGGAAAATATGTAGGAAGAAATAAGGAAACTACTTTAAAAAAAGATTTTAAAAAATCTATGTGAATGTAGGCTCTGCGTGTGGGTGGTTACCCGAGGAGACCAGACGAGAGCACTGAATCCCCTGGAATTGAAGTTACAGGCAGTTGTGAGCTGCCCAGTGCGGGTGCTTGGAACCAAACTGAGGTCCTCTGGAAGAGCAGCAAGTGTTCTTAACCACTGAGCCATCTCTCCAGCCCCTAGAAACTCTTATTTTTCAACTTAATTTCTCTGCATACCTAAAACTGCTCAGAAAAAGACAATTAACTAAAATGAAATTAAGTTTTGCTACTTACTCATTTTTTGAGACAGGTTTGTGCTATGTAGCCCTAGTTGGCCTCAAACTCACTATGTAGACCAGGCTGGCCTTGAGCTCTCAGATCTCCAGCCTGCCTCTAGGCCTCCTGACTACTGAGATTAAAGGCATGAGCAACCTCACCCAGCCCTATTGTTACTGTTTTTGAAGTAGGGGCTCAAACTCTCTATGTAGTTGAGGATGGTCTTGAATACCTGATCCTCCTGCAACACCTGACCTGTCTTGTGACTGTCATTATTATTACTATCATTTTTATTTTTGCAGTGCTGGAGAGTTGCATCCCAGGGCCTTGTATCTGCTTCTCAGCAAGGCCTTCAGAATACCCTGTAGCACATTTGGGGTATTTTTTTTTTTTGAGACAGGGTCTCATGTATCCCAGGCTGACCTAGAATTTATTATGTAGCCAAAGATGACTTTGAACAAATCCTCCTGTGTCTATATCCCAAGTGTTAGGATTGTAGGCATGTGGCATCATGTCCAGCAGAGGTTCCTAATTCTTTTGAGAATTTCACATCTGCTGTTGGAAAAGTTTCTGATATACCAACAACAATGCCAATGAGTCTGCAGATGAACTGACTTTATTCTACTTTTCCCTGGGCATAATGGTGCATGCCTGTGATCCAGCCATTTAGGAGGTAGAGTTAGAAGGATCAGGTGTTGAAGGCCAGCCTGGGCTACATGAATCCATGATCCCATAACACAAATAAAAATAAATAAATCAGCCTGATCTAACAGCAAGTTCTAAGACAGCCAGTGCTACATAGTGAGACCTTATCTCCAAAAAAATTAAATAAAATTCCACCTCTCATGGGACATGGGACATGATGTTACATACCTGTGATTCAGACCCAGGAGGCTGAAGCAGAGGGCTGGTGAGTTCAAGGACAGACTAGGCTACATAGTGAGACTCTGTCTCAAAACAAAATACTAAAATAATTCTATTTCTCCACCCTTTAAAGTTGGTATGGAATTATGATTCACTTTGCATAGAATACACTAGAAGTAATTTACAGATTCAGAGCAGGGCCTTAGAGACACCGGAGCCTCCTTTCTCATCCTTTTGGAGCCCTGAGGTCACAATGCTATGGATAAACCCAGGACAAAATGTCACATGGCGGGCCTGGAGAGATGGCTCAGGGGTTAAGAGCACTGACTGCTCTTGCAGAGGACCCGGGTTCGATTCCTAGCACCCACATGACCATCCTTAACTCCAGTTCCAGGGGAATCTGAAGCCCTCTTCTGACCTCCGAGGTATTGCACAACATGGGTGTGCTCACATACATGCAGGTAATACACTCATACACATAAAATAAATAAAATAAAATAAAATATTTCACATGGAGAGAAGGGCACAGCCACTCAGCTCAGTCATCAGAACTAGCATTTTGGATACGAGTGCGGATGAGCCCATCTTGGGTCACCCAGCCCAAGCAGAGGTGCCTGATGGCTGTACCACTTGCATAATCGAGGCTAGATCAGCAGGAAAACCACTCAGTCACCCTCAGAATCTAGAAAAACAACAAATGTCTGTTTTAGCCTAGTTTGTAACCCTGAGTTTCTGGAATGCTTTTTTATGCAGCAGTGACTATCTATATATTTTTCAGAAGTGGGGTTGCTGGCTCAAAGTGTGTATTCATTTCACATTTTTGCTCAGGTATCGTCCAGGTTGTATTACTTTGCCTTCCTACCAACAATGGGTGAATGTACTTGTTTGCCCACTGTCTTAATGAAAAATATCTTGTCAAATTTATGGATTTAAGATAGTACAATAGGGGCTGGAGAGATGGTTCAGCAGTTAAGAACACTGTTCTTGCAGAAGACCTGGGTTCGAATCCTAGCACCCACATGGCAGCTAACAATTGTCTGTAACTCTAGTTCCAGGGGATCCAACAGCCTCTTCTGTCCTCCTTGGGCATTGCACAACACGGGTGCACTTACTTACATGCAGGCAATACTCGAATACACATAAAATAAAAAAAATAGGGCATGGTGGCACACGCCTTTAATCCCAGCACTCAGGAGGCAGAGGCAGGCGGATCCTCTGTGAGTTCGAGAACAGCCTGGTCTACAGAGTGAGTTCCAGGCAGCTGGAGCTACAGGGAGACCTTTTCTCAAAAAGACGAAAAAATAACTAAAATAAATAAATTAAAAATAAATAAATAAAAATAAAAGATAGTGTGATAATAAAAAGTAATCAGGGATGGTGGCACATGACTGTAATCTCAGCGCTCAGGAGACAGAGGCAGGAGAATTTCTCTGCATTCAAGGTCAGCCTAGTCTACAAAGTGATTTCCAGGCCCACAAGGGCTACATAGTGAGATCCAGTCTAAACAAAAAATAAAAACAAAACACCAAATAAAAGTAGTGTCTATTTCAGCATTGTTTTGTTGTCATTGTTTTGGTTTATTCGGTGCCAAAGCATTGAATTTAGGGTCTTGTGCATGATAGGTAAGTACCTACCACTGAGATGCATCTCTGGTCCTTAGTTTGTATGAAATAAGGTCTCCATGCCGTTCTGGAACACACTATCCTCCTACCTCTGCCTCCAGAGTGCTAGGGCTACAGGCCTATACCACGGTTTCCAGTCTGACTTTCATTTTTATTATTATGTGTGATGTTGGACACCTACACGGATGCTAGAGGCCTTACGTATTTTTTGTAAATTGTCCTATTATTTGTTTTAAAATTAAACTGTTGATCTTTCCTATCAGTACATGGGAACTCTTTAAGCAGTAAGGAGATTAGATATTGGTATATAAGTATTACAAATATATTTCTCAATTTGTTTTTTACTCTTCCTTATTTTTATTTTTTATTTATTTTTTGCTCTTTTTGAGACAGAGTCTCCCTGTAACCCCAGCTGGCCTGGAACTCACTATGTAGACCAGGCTGGCCTTGAACTCACAGAGATCTGCCTGCCTCTGCCTCCCGAGCGCTGGGATTAAAGGCGTGTGCCACCATGCCTGGTGTTACTCTTGCTTATTTTAAAAGATTTATTTATCATTTATTTATGTCAAATTCATTATGTAGCTGAAGATGATCATGAACTTCTGACTTTCCTGCCTCTCCCTCCTGAGTCTGGGATTACAAGTGTGGACCACCATGCCTGGTTATGCAGTCCTGAGGACTCTGCATGCTTCATGTGCTCTACCAACCGAGCTGCATTTCCAGCCTTTTCTTTAGACAAGGTCTCATGTAGCCCTGGTCCACCTCAAACTTGTCAAGTAACCAAGGCTGGTTTTGAACTCCTGATCCTCCCTCCTGCCTCTACCTCTCAAGGGCCACCAGGCCCTGCTCAATAAATTAATAATATAAAGTGTTTATATTGGTGCTTGCATATATAAGTATAAATAGTAAATGAAAATAAACAATTTTATTCATTCATGAATATTTATTGGCTAGCTAGTACATGCCAGGCACTGTTGAAGGTGCTGGGGACCCATCAGTGAATAAGGTGAAAATCTTTGTGCACATAGAGTTTATATTCTAGTAGTGTGCAAAATATGTAGCCCTAGAGATCCCAGTGCAGTACAGGAATTGGCAAGGCCACTAGCTTAGCACCTGGTGCACAGTGGGGCTCAGGAGATGGAAGGGAAAGGAAGATCCTGGGCCAGCAGCAGAGTGGAATCCCAGTAGAGGGACTAGGACTGCTGAAATCCTGAGTAGCAATCACTATCACCATCCAACAGCCGCAAAGAACAGTAGCCCAGAGCAGGCGCTGCTCTGTTCTCATATCTCATTTAACCCTTACAGCAACACGAGGAGTTTAGTGCTGTTGTTTTCAGTTTTCAGATGGGAACTAAAGCAGAGAGAGGTTAAGTAGCCTCATCAAGGTGAGTGAGCTGGGATCCCAGCTCAGGCCATCCGGCCCCAGTGTTGGTAGGATTGGATCTGCAAGTAGAGAGGGCAGCACAGGTTGCTAGGTCTCAGGATCATACACAACCTGAACTTCAGACAAATTAGAAAGAACATATGCCCCTCCTAACACCCACACACCCAAGACCCACTATACTCAATACACACTTCAAGGCTACTAAGGGCCTAGGAGGAACAAGGGGGTCAGCTGTGGGGTGCGCCATCCCCAGGGCTAGTCCATCCCAATGGTCTGTCTCCTCCATAATATTACTCCACAAGGCTTTGAATCAGCCCTCCTGGGACCTTAAGTCATTGTCTCAAGGCCTGTGATTCCACCCAGAAACCACAAATAAAATAATGAATATTGTAATCCTGAGAAGCTTTAACAGAGGCACTAACACTTCCACACTGCAGCTGGAGGCCAAGAAAGCAACTATTCAAGAAGCAGGAGATGAAACTGGAGGGTCCAGAGAAGAGATGGGACCCACAGTAGCAGACGTTCGGAAAGGGGGAACCATTACCAATTTACAAGACCCTTCCACATCCTTTCTAACCTTTCTTGGCATATTTAACATTGTTCAAATCTTACCTTATACAAGGAAGAAACTGTCAGACCATGTTGTCAAAGGGGGAATTTGAATCTCAGAGGGAAACAGGAAGTATTCAAGATCACACACAGGGCTAGGAGACAGGTGGCTGAGAGCCTTCCTCCCTAATAATAATAGAGAATGGGAGGAAGCAGGGGGCGGTGTAGGAGGCAAGCAGCAAAGAACTGGAGAGGCAGATGCAAATGTAGAAGACCCCACAGCAGACAGATTCTTCCACTTTATCTTCAGGGCAGGCAGAGCTGGGCCTCCTGAGATGCAAACCAACATTGCATTCCCTCTGTGGGGTGATCAGGGCCGCACTATCCTCACTCCCTCATTCCCAACCCCAGGCAAACTACATTCGACTGCGTTCTGAAGGATCGACACCCCCCACAGGAGGGATCAGACAGCACTTGGCAGTTTCCAGTCGCCCACTCCTCTGCAGTCATCTATTGAAGACATGGGAAATCAAGGTCCAGAGACAAGAAGTGCCTCTCCAAAATTCCATAGCAACTCAAGCTCAGAAATCTAAGCTTCCTGACCAGAACTTACTAGACAGGGACCTCTGCTTCAACCTTCTCTCTGGAGATATAATATTCATTTTTTGGCTGTGCTGACACTCACTCAAGAAACTTGGGGGGGATTTCGCCTGTACAACGTGAGTCTCACAAGTGCAGGGATTTTTGTCTGTTGATCCCCGATGTATCACCAGCCCCTAGAACATTGTCTGCCCCATAGAATGTGCCAATATATACAAATCAAGTAATTGTATGCCCAGAGAGACAGGCACAGGAGAGATACTGAAACCTTATCTTTAGATCCGGAAGCCACGGACTTTATTTTCAAATACATGAAAAGCTAAAAATCTGATCATGTCTTCTTATCAGGGTCCACTTTGTGCCAGGAACTGAACTTGGTGTTGGGGACTTAGTGAAAGACAAACATGTTCAGACTTCGGGTGTAAGGAAGGGGTGAGGCTGTAAGTGATCCCCAGCGCAACATAGTACATTTTGCAGTCTGAGCAGCTCTAAAATGGTCTCGCGGCTCAGGTGGCGCGCTCAGCAGGACTGCAATGTTCCTGCGGGGCGCCGGCCGCCCACCTGTCAGAGGCTGTGCCAAGAGAATGCAGGAGAAAAGCTTTCTACCTTGGCTGAGGTCATTTCCCACCCCCAGATTCTCTGCCTCCAAAACCCTGCAATTCTCTGACGCTGTAGACTTGGATCTCGCTATCTTCTGACTTTCAAGGTCTCCTGATGCTGACAGCCCCAAATTTTAAGTCTTCAGCCTTCCCACGCCAGGGACCCAAAAGAAAAAACAAGCGAACTCTGCAAGGGCCGCATTACCCACTCTTCAGCAGGCCTGAGGGTAGGAAGTGTCCCCTTCCCCATCTCGCAGGAGCTGTGGAGACATAGCTCAGGCTCTGGGGTGTTGGCGACGTCGGAAGACTCAAGTCCCAGGGATGGCATTGACAGCGCCGTAACACGTGACGGGCTGTCACATTGTGCAGCGGGTGAAGACGGGGCCGGCCCGTCACGTGACGGAGGAGGGGGCGCCATGGGGTGATATGAGATGCGTGTCTCTTAGATTACGTGGAATGACGCATTCCCACCCCTTTTGGCAACTAGATTTCATCAGTCCGAAGAGGAGACATTCCGGTCCAGGGGGCAGGCTCTCGGATCCAGACAGTTTGCTTCCGTTCCCTCGCGCACCAGCTTCCGACCTCCGCCCTCCCCTAGGGCGAGGAAGAGCCGAGACCTGGTGCGCATGCTCCAACCATCCCAGAGGGGCGGGACTGCGGCTAGGGAGCGGGAGGGGGGAAGACAAGGGAATTCAACCTGTAGAACTTTGGGGGTCCGGGGATCGACTCCTTCCCTTCCACTGTGGATGCTGCAGGAGGCGGGGCCTGGCAGTTCCTGGGGGTGTTGGGGTTCGCGGGGGAGGTGTCCGTGTGAGAGGGGTACAGGACTTCCGAACTTAGAATATTGAGGCTCTCGGGGTTCAGGCTCCGGGGAGAGGGAGCTCGGGCCGCCATGCGCGACAGGACCCACGAGCTGAGGCAGGTGAGAACCGGGGCTGCAGGGTTGGGGGCGGGCGGGCGGACTGGAACGAGAGATTCCCGGTCTTCGGGTCCGGGGGCGGGTGGCTGCTGGCCAGGAAGGAAATTCCCGGAAGCCTGCGGGTCTTGCGGGGCGAGAGCCGCAGCGAGGAAGTGATGCCCGTGACTTCGGCCCCGGCAGGGGGATAACAGCTCGGACGATGAGGACGAGGTTCGAGTCGCGCTGGTGGTGCACCCGGGTTCAGCTCGGCTGGGGAGCCCGGACGATGAGTTCTTCCAGAAGGTAAGGGGCTGGAATCCTGGCCTGGATACTCCAGAGGTCAGGAGGACGAGGAGTAGGGCGGATCGGAGTACGACTTATCTCTTCAGCCCTTTCGGTCTTCATCCCTAGGTCCAAACTATTCGGCAGACTATGGCCAAACTGGAGAATAAAGTCCGGGAGTTGGAGAAACAGCAGGTCACCATTCTGGCCACGCCCCTTCCCGAGGAGAGTAAGCACGCTCAGCCTGGTGGATTATGGGGGTTGTAGTTCCATATAGGTGGTGGCTAGGGTGGTGGTTTGGTTTGGTTTGGTTTGGTTTGGTTTTGAGGTAGGGGTGGTGGTTTGGAAGTCTTGGCCTTCTCTTGTTTAGGCATGAAGCAGGACCTGCAGAACCTGCGTGATGAGATCAAACAGCTGGGGAGAGAAATCCGGGCACAGCTGAAAGGTGAGTTTCTCGGACCTCAGACAGATCTTTCCTTCTGGGCATATCTGGGGAGTACGTTGCCCAGAGAGGTCAGTGATATGTCCAGGTCACACAGCCGGCCTAGGTTTAGAATCAATGCACATGCCTGCTTCTCAGAGTCCTTTGTTACTATTACTATTACCATTAAATTTACATTGAAAGTACTTACCACTATAGGTCTTGCAGCCTAATGTGTATTCTTTGGGCAGACAGATGGGGGTTTTGTTAGGAGGCTACCTCACCACTTCTGGAAACCCACTGATGGACTACAAAGAGAAATAGACTTTTTCCTCTTAGAGATTCAGAACTAACCTCCTCCTCTTCCCCCTCCCGATCCTTTCCCCCTCTTCCTGAAGTCCTCCATCATCATCATGTTTACTACTGAGATATACCCCAGCTCATAGTCACTTTGTAATAAAAATCCTGTGGAAAAGAGAACCTCCCTATTATGTAGCTGGATGTAGACATGGCCTTTTGTTATGGCCCCAAAACTATGTATTTATTTATTAACTTACACATATGTATGTATTTTTGAGACAAGGTCTCACTGTATAGCCCAGGTTGGCCTCAAACTCACAGAAATCCCCTTGTTTCTACCTCCCCAGTGTTGGCCCAGCCTCCCAAATAATTTTTAGAAATCTCAGGTCAAACTCTCCTTTCCATCGACCCTTGTATCCCCCACAGCCATAGAGCCCCAGGAGGAAGCTGATGAAAATTATAACTCAGTCAACACAAGAATGAAGAAAACCCAGGTGGGTTTCACTTTCCTAGAATGAGGACGTTTCAGCAAATGTTCCATAGATTACTGATGGTGACTGTGAGGCAAGGGCCCTGAGACATCCGGGATCTCTGTCCTTATGATTTCCCACATTGGGAAGCTGCTGCTCAAAGAGAGAAAGAACTCACTGAAGATAGAGAATCTGGGTCTCACGATGCTCAATCCTTTATAGCGCCCTACCTCCTTCTCCATCCAAGGAGTATTTACTGTGTCCCCAGATGTGATTTATACTTGGCTGTGAGAGACATACTTTCCCAGAGCTGAGATAGGGAATTTGGGGTAAATAGGAACAGAGATATTTTTCATGTAGGACTTGGTACCTAGTGGCTCTGCCCAGGGAAGAAGAGAAAGCAGAAATGACTGGTGACATCCTTTGCCCCATAGACAGACTTCAAGAAATAAGGAAGAAGGGTTGATGAGATGGCTCAGTGGAGAAAGGCATTTGCCACCAAGCCTAATAACCTCAGTTTAATCTCTAGAATCCCCACAGTAGAGGAGAGAACTGACTCCCACAAGTTGTCCTTTGACCTCCACATATGTGCATGGCATGTGTTTCCTCTTCCCCATGCATACACATACCAAATAAATATACTAAAATAGGACTTAAAATTTGTTTTAAAGAATTAAGGAAGAGGAACTTGCATCAGGCAACATCTTAGTAAGCAGATTTGAAGTGACCTGACTGGATCCTTCTGGATGTCCAGTGAAGAGTGGTTGGAGTTCTTGGAAGTCAGGATTGGAGTAGCTGGAGCCAGAATTCTACCAGATCAGGAAGAGAGGTTTGAGCATCTTGAGAGGGTGCAGAAGTGTGAGTCCAGGAGATGAAGGCATCAGGAGAGGAACAAAAGAGCAGCGTACCCAGAGAGGTACCACGGTGCTTACTGGTTTGAGAGGCCAAGGGCTCAGAGGACAGCATGGTGACATTGAGGCAGGTGAGCGGACCTCCAGTCTAAGCAGCAAGGTTGACATTCAGCAGGCGTTCAACAAATATACATTGAGTGCCCGTGTGCTAGACTCTTGAATAGAAAATAAAAAATTCATACTCTTGAAACATTTACATTCTAGTTGGGCAAGACAGTCGCCAAATAAATAAATTACTTTAGAATATAATAAGTATTAGAAGGAAAAACGGCAGAGGAGAAAGGATGGGGAGTGCTGGCAGAGGGAGGGTAATAATTGAAATGAGAAGTGCAGGTAGAGCTGAGTGGTAGAATGTGTACTTAGCACGTGTGAGGCCCTGGCTTCCTTCACCAACCTGCAAAAAAATGTTTATTTATTGGCGTGTTTAGTGTGGGGGGGGTGGGGGGGGTGTATGCGGGCAAGCGCACAGCACAGTGCTCATGTTGAGGTCAGAGGAATGGGTTCTCACCTTTCACTTGGTTGAGGCAGGGTCTCTCTTTTCCTGTTGCCGCACTGCACTGTGTACTGCATGAAGCTGGCCCCAAGCTTCCCAGGTAGTCTCTGCCTCCCATTTCACCTTAGGAGAGCTTGAATTATAGATCCACTGCATCTGGCTTTTTACATGGGTTCTGGGGATCAAACGTGTCATTGTGCTTGTGCAGCTAGCGTTTTACTTGCTGAGCCATCTCCCTAGCCCCCCAAATAAAAAGTAAGGACTGAAGATGTAGTTTATTTACTAGAGTGTTTGCCTAGCATGGATTAAATTCCCATCACCACAGATACAGGGGATATTGGTACACAATGTAATCCCAGCAGGCCAGTCTGCTTTATATAACATAAACCAAAATAGCTGGACATGGTGACACATGCCTTTAATCCCAGCACTCTGGAGGCAGAGGCAGAACGATTTCTGTGTGTTCAAGGCCGTCTTGGTCTACCTAATGTGTTCTGGGCCAGCCAGAGCTACTACACACTGAGACTCTTTCTCAAAAACAAAACAACCCCCCCATAAGTAATAGTAATAATAATAAATAAAATCAAAATTTAAAAATAAAAAATAATTAGATGAAGCCAGATGTGGTTTTCATCTGTAATCCGAGTACCCAGGGAGGTGGAGGGAGATCAGGAGTTCAAGGTCATCCTTAGCTGTGTAGTGAGTTCAAGGCCAGCCTGAGCTATTATATGAGACTCTGCTTGAAAACCAATCAACCAACCAACAAAAAATAAACAAGATGAGGAAAGCTTCATTGAAAAGGTGACAATTGAACAAAGGCCAAAGGTGTTTGTGAGGAATGAGCATTCTAGGCAGAAGGCACAGTGACTACAAAGGCTGAGCTGAGAGTGTGCTTTGTTCAGGGAGAAATAAGCCAGTGGGGTGGTAAAAGGAGAGGGAACATAGGGAGGAAGGAGGGGACAGTGGAAGGAGGTGAGGTCAGAGGGGTATCTAACAGTGGGTGGACAGACAGAGCATGTTTGGGCCTTGTGGGCTCTGATAAAGCCTTTGGCTTTCATTCTAAGGAGTGAGGGAGCCTAGTAAAGTCGTTATCACAAGGTGGTTATGGCCTCAGGCACACATGATAACTCTTGCTCACTGACCTCTGGGGATGCCAAGGCCAAGACAGACAGGGATCTTCCTGAAGTGACCAGCTAGAGTCTCCATTCTCAGCATGGGGTCCTGTCCCAGCAATTCGTGGAGCTCATCAACAAGTGCAACTCAATGCAGTCTGAATACCGAGAGAAGAATGTGGAGCGCATTCGGAGGCAGCTGAAGATCAGTGAGTTGGGGTGCCTGGTTTACAGGGTTAGGGAGCACTGATCTGGCTCTGAACTGACCTTTCCTTTTGCAGCCAATGCTGGAATGGTGTCTGATGAGGAGCTGGAGCAGATGCTGGATAGTGGGCAGAGCGAGGTGTTTGTGTCTAATGTGAGTAGCCACAGCCAGCCTCTCTGCTCACCTCCCATCTTTGAATCCTGGTACCTTTGTGTGGAGGGCAGGCTCAGGAGGGAATTAATTAGAATGCCAGGAGTTGTAGATCAGAGGTCTGTTCCAGAAACTCAACAGGAACTTTGGATCTGCTGGTGGTCTATCTGTGACCTCTTCCCCATTCCTACCTACTCCCTAGATACTGAAGGACACACAGGTGACGCGACAGGCCCTAAATGAGATCTCAGCCCGACACAGTGAGATCCAGCAGCTGGAGCGCAGTATTCGTGAGCTTCATGAGATCTTCACTTTCCTGGCTACTGAGGTGGAGATGCAGGTGGGCACTTGAGGCAGCCCTTAGACAGGAAGCCATGCACAGTCCACACTCTTGAGCTCCACCTGTAGACAGTATCCTGGGCTTGTATGGTCTTCCAGGCTCCATGTTCCCAGGTGGCCCCTACTTCCATCCTTAGCCAATTTTGCCTACCTCCACAGCTACCCAGAAGGCCACTCCTCAGATTTCTCCAAGGTTGGAGTGGCATTCCTTTGGCCCTTTGTAGGGGTCAGGGCATGCTCCTAGCCCTATCCTGGAGGTGCTGACCTCCACCATGCTGCAGCCATCTCCTTTGCAGGGCTCTTGTGCAGTGCAAGTACCAGGACCTAAGGCTGGTAGTGCCAGGAAGAGGCAGGGGCTGGGGTGAAGACAGGCCTACAGGAACGGGTGAATTTACACAGTTATGAGGGGACACAGGTTTGCCAGTTAGGAAAAAGGTACTAGCCCCATAAGGCCAAGGCAACAGGCCCCTACTGCAAATGGCATGGTATAGAACAAGGGAATAGGAAGAGACCGTATGTGGTGCTAAAAGCCATATTGAGTCTGAACATTGTCAGATCTGTCTGCTGGATCTTGGTTAGTGCAGTTTTTGTTTGGTTTGGTTTTCTGCCAAGAATATCTATCAGGTATTTTGGGCTGGGATGGGCAGAGTAACTGCTGACCTCTCACACCCAGTCATCCCTGCCTTTCTGAACTACCCCTTTCTCTGAGCAGGAGGAGATGATCAACCGGATTGAGAAGAATATCCAGAACTCAGCGGACTTTGTGGAACGTGGTCAGGAACATGTCAAGATAGCACTTGAGAACCAGAAGAAGGCGAGGAAGGTGAGCCTTCAGCCTGGCCCAGACCCTTGGGTACTCCCGAATGACTCTCCCTGACCCTTGCTCTCCCACAGAAAAAAGTTATGATTGCCATCTGTGTTTCTATCATTGTCCTCATTTTGGCTGTCGTCATTATCATCGCTACGGTAGTTGGATAATGCCACATATTTTTGGTAAGATATGGTGAGCCTATCTCATTCCCAGCACCAGCTTTTCCCTCTACCTCCCTCACCCATTTCTCTCCTTCCCTTTCAGGCACTGGGAGTAGCAGGGACCCAGGTCCTGACCTTCCCTCCCAACAGCTGTGGAGGCAGTCCACAGCCTCCAGCCAACCCTATCCTCACACTGACCTCCATGCAGAGGGGCATATAGCTCTTGGGGTCCTTCCCCTTCAAGCCACAATGCCTGGGAGAGGGCCTGCAGTGTCCTTTTGGGCAGGAACACATGGTTTTGTAAAAAAAAAAAAATATATATATATATAAATAAATAAAAAGCTTTGGAGCCTCCTGCGCCTGTGTATTTCTGGAAAGGCTGGCCCAGGCTTCCAAGTATCTGTTCTCTCTACCTCCTGGCCATTCCCGAGGTTAGACCTAGTCTAGACAGGCTCAAATCAGACTTCCCTAAGTGTGTGACCAAGCACAGCAGGCTCGTTCTACCCACATTGTAGGAAAGGTAGGCTTGGGAGAGGTAGTGCCCATAACTGACTTCAGCCCAGTACTGTCTCACCACTGGGACAACATACGTGGAGTGATGAGCTGACCAGGCCAGGCCAGGGCTGGGACAAAGGGGAAATGTGTTATGTGAGAGATAGCAGTGGTGTTCCTGAGGCCAAGAGGAGGAGACATCGAAAAAAAGTACTTGAGTAATTGAGGTAATTACTTTGAACACATACAGCTGGCCTCAGTAGAGACACATTTATTGAGGATGCTAAATGTAATGGAAAAAGACAGCATAAGAGGTTGCAAGGCAGAAGGACCAACAGGCCAGGCCCTATGACCAGAGACTCATCACCCATAGTGGTATACCTGGATTATGGAGGTTATCCAGTAGAAGCAGGTAGAGGAGGTAAAGGTTTCTGGACCCTCTTTGTGTTTTACAAGGCACATGAGTTGCAGACCCTTATTCTAATTTCTTTTTATAATTTTTTTAGGGGGGTCTTTCTTGAGACAAGGTCTCCCTGTAGCCCCAGCTGTCCTGGAACTCGCTATGTAGACCAGGCTGGCCTTGAACTCAAAGAGATCCGCCTGCCTCTGCCTCCTGAGTGCTGGGATTAAAGACGTGCGCCACCACGCCCAGCTTATTTTTAAAATTATTTTTATTTTATGTGTATGAATGTATTACCTGCATGTATATAAGTGCACCCATGTTGTGCAATACCTGAGGAGGTCAGAAGAGGATGTTGGAGTCCCCTGGAACTAGAGCTATGGGCAGTTGTAGCCACCATGTGCATTCTGGGAATCGAACCCAGGTCCTCTGCAAGAGCAGTCAGTGCTCTTAACCGCTGAGTCATCTCTCCAGCCCCTAATTTTTTTAAAGTTGTATGTATGTGTGTGAATGATTGAGATCAGAGGACTTTTCAGGCATAGTTCTCTCAATCCATTATGGTTGCCAGGGATTGAACTCAGGTCATCAGGTTTGTATGGCAAGTGCTTCTTCCTCCTGAGCCATCTCACTGACCCCAATTCTAAGTTTTTAAGAGTGTCTAGTCCAGGTGCCTAGTTTCCAGAGAGGGATGGAGTTCCTTTCCAGGACACCTAGCTCAAAGGGTAAGCTGCTCCTGGGTCATGCTTGGTTGGATTCAGTGGTATTTGGGGAGATTGCCAAGGCATTCCAATCTCACTGTCTCATCCTCCTTATGATCCCATAGGACCCCACTGCCCACCCCCTACCCCCCCACCCACTGAGCCCCTCTGAGTATAGTACTAATACCAGTTCCTGCTGTAATGAGTCCTGGAAGAGCTCTATGTGACAGTGCTAGTGTAGGGACCAGACTTCCCTAGACCTACATTGGAGGAAGGGGGGAATCAGGCCCTAGGGCCTTGCCAAGTGAACCCCTGCCTGCAGGCCAGCCCTTGGCAGGGCCTCCCTGTGGCACTGGAGTGGCCACTAACAGTATCCATTGGAGATTGTCTACCTCTTTACTAGCTAAGTTTGGAATGTGCCTTTGTCTCAACTGAGAAAGATTGCCAGAGGGCCTAGGTTGTCCCTGGAGAGCATCAGGATTGGTCAGCAGTGTGTCTGGGGAGCAGCCCCTCCCCATCAGTATCAAGCAGCTCATTTTAGGTTTGAGGGCCTGTGGTGGTTTGAATGAGAATGTCCCCCATAGGCTTCAAGTATTTGGACATTTTGTCTCCAGTTGGTGGTGCTGTTTTGGGAGGTCTTAGAAGGTGTGTCCATGCTGGAGAAAGCAGGCCACTGGAGGTAGACTGAGAGTTCTTATGCCTTATGAGATTTTCAGTTCCTCATGTTTTCTATGCCTGCTTGAAGATGTAAGTGCTCTGCTTTCTGCTCCAGCACCTCCTGCCACCATGCCTCCCCACCACGATGGACTCTAATCCCTCTGGAACTGTAAGCTCAAATAAATTCTTCCTTCTATAAGTTGCTTTGGTTTTCCATCTCTTTCCCCAAGATGCCTAACATCTCCAGCAGATTCATGTCTACTTTGCTTCATTTGTCCAATTTCCCATATTGCCTTCAGAGTAAAACAAGATCTGAGACACCAGCTGAGATCTGATACAGATGTTAGACATCCACATCTATGGAGTTGGATGTGTTTTCCTTTAAAATTTTTATTATTGGCTCTGTAGTTGGAGCCCAGCCTGGTCTACATAGCGAGTTCCAGGCCAGCCAAGACTATATAGTGAGTTCCTGTCTTCCAAAAATTTTTAAAATATTTTAACATTTTATTTATTGTATTTATTTTATATGTTTGGGTGTATTGCTTACATGTAAGTGCATCCATGTTGTGCAATGCCCGCAGAAGTCAGGTGTTAGATCCCTGGGAACTGGAGTTAGGACGGTTGTTAGTCATGTGGGTACTGGGAGTCAAACCCAGGTCCTCTGCAAGAGCAGTCAGTGCTCTTAACTCTGAACCATTTCTCCAGCCCCATTATTTATTATTTTATGTGTATAAATGTAATGTCTGCATGTAGGTATGTGCACCCGTGTCATGTAATGCCCAAGGTGGCCAGAAGAAGTTATTAGATCCCCTTGAACTGAAGTTACAGAAAGTTGTTAGCTGTCTTGTGGGTGCTGAGACTCGAACCTGGGTCCTCTCTGGGAGTACCCAGTGCTCTTAACGGCTGAGCCATCTCTCCAGCCCCTCAAAAAAATTTAAATTATTATATTTATTTGTGCATGTGTGTGGAAGTCAGAGGATAAGACACAAGAGTCAGTTCATCTACCATGTGGGTCCCAAGTATTGAAATCAGATTGTCAGGCTTTAAAGTAAGCGCCTTTACCCACTGAGCCATCTCTCTGGCCCCTGCCATGTTATAAACTTAAGAATTGATTACAGGAGACTGGAGAGATGGCTTAGTGGTTAAGAGCACTGGCTGCTCTCAGAGAGGACCCGGATTCAATTCCCAGCACCCACATGGTGGCTAACAATTGCCTGTAACTCTAGTTCCAGGGGCTCTGATGCCCTCTTCTGACTTCCAAAGGCATTGCACAATATGGGTACACTTACATACATGCAGGCAATACACGCATACACATAAATTAAAAAATTTTTTTAACCTTTTTGAGACAGGGTCTCCTTGTAGTCCCAGCTGTCCTGGAACTCATTATGTAGACCAGGCTGGCCTTGAACTCACAAAGATCCGCCTGCCTCCCAAGTGCTGGGTTAAGGCGTGCGCCACCACTCCTGGTGAAAAAAATATTTTTAAAAATAATAAAATATTTTTTAAAATAATCAGTTCCAGATACTCCCAGAATTCAGGAGGCAACTGGAGCTATCCAGCACAGTATGGTACTGCATGCCCTTACTGCCAGCACTCTGAAGGCAGAGGCAGGTGAATCTCTCTGAGATTGAGGCCAGCCTGGTCTACATAGCAAGTTCCAGGCCAGCTAGGATACAGCAAGACCCTGTTTCAAAAAGACCAAAAGAGAAAGAAGATTCAGAGAAAAAAAAGGTCAAACAATTAGTTCTTTCAAGGTGGTTAATGTATTCAGTCTGCCTATAGTCATATCTAGAGAGGAGGAAGTTTTGAAAGTAATTATGGGTGTCACTGTTGTCTCATGAAAAACTGATAGAATCAAATAGATTTTTAAAAACTATTGTTTTCTGGTTGGTACATGCTTGTAATCCTTGCAGTAATCCTAGCACTTAGGAGACTGAGACAGAGGATTGCTGAGTTCAGTGCCAGCCTGGGCTACATAGTCACTTCTAGACTATCTTTAGCTATCAAGTGACATTTGTCCTAAAACAAAAAACAAAGAAACAGAAGATTCCAAGTCCAAGCTAGCATGGAGTTATTCAGTGACCTCAATAGACCCAGGTGGTATTTGTAGTGATTGTGTGTGTGTGTGTGTGTGTGTGTGTGTGTAAGTGTATTGCCTATATGCATGTAAGTACACCCCTGTTGTGCAGTGCCTGAGGAGGTCAGAAGAGGGCATCAGATCCCCTGGAACTGGGGTCACAGATGGTTGTTGGCTGTCATGTGGGTGCTGGGAACCAAACCCAGGTTCCTTCCTACAGTCCCAGCTGACCTGGAACTCACTATGTAGACCAGGCTGGCCTCGATCTCACAGAGATCTACCTGCCTCTGCCTCCCAAGTGCTGGTATTAAGGCATGTACCACCATACCCAGCTTGTTTTTAAATTTTTATTTGTTTTTATTTTATTTTCTTTTATTATTATTATTATTATTATTATTTTGGTCTTTTTGAGGCAGGGTCTCCCTGTAGCCCCAGCTGTCCTGGAACTCACTGTGTAGACCAGGCTGCCTGCCTGCAAGTCCGCCTACCTCTGCCTCCCTAGTGCTGGGATTAAAGGCGTGGTGTTTATTGTTTTTATTTTGTATGTATGAGTGTTTGAGCACAGGTCAGTACAGCAGTGCATGCAATGCCTATGGAGGCCAGAAGGGGGCATCAGATCCTTCTAGAACTGTAGTTAAGAACTGTTGTTAGCTGTCATGTGGGTGCTGAGAACCGAACCTGGGTCCTCTCTAAGAGCTGAGCCATCTCTCCAGCTCTCAGCCCTAAGTTTGTTTTTAATGTTGTTGCTGTTCTTTCTGTAGGATACTACCTTCGCCTAGGGGCCCAAGATGGTCCTTGGTCATTTCTGTGGCCCCACCCCTGTGAAGGCAGAAAAGCGAAGGGGATAGTTTACTCCTCCCCTAAATTCCACAGCACAAGTTGCACCAATAATTTTCACTCCTAATCCTTTTTTTTAAATTTTATTTTATGTGTATGTGTGTATTGCCTGCATGTAGGTAAGTGCACCTGTGTCGTGCAATGCCCGCGGAGGTCAGAGGAGGCTGTCAGATCCTCTGGGACTAGAGTTATG